CACACCGAAAACAGGAAGTGATCATGGGCACTGATTTATCATATGAGGCAAAGGTCAGCTCTGATCGACAGATAATTTAAAACCACATGCTTCTCTCGAAACCGGATGAATTGGAAGGATCGTACTTTGGAAATGAAACTACATACAGCGTTGTGTGGTTTGGTTCCGATAAGGCAAATGGAGGTCCGCAGATCGACACCCATAGGTTGCCATGTCATTTTGGAATGAACTAAGGATAATTCCTTGAAACGATTAGGCAAATTTACTTGTTTTTTTGTCACAACTGCTAATTATTGACTTACACACAACCGTCATGCGGTAGAAACCCGTAGTTGTTGACCAGTTCTTCAACGAATTTCATAGAATGTTAGCAGCCCTGTTTTGTAGCACTGATGCAGTGTCAGGTGCATTTTAATAGAAGACGGTTTGTTTGGCTTAAATTGGGGTTGCTGGGACTTATACTCATTACGCAATGGGAAGCGCTCTTCGAAAACACAGCAATCGAACTGATGCAATTTCTCAAATAATCATCCCATAGGTATGAAGTTCAAAAGCAAAAACGGAATTGCTACTCCAGCTTATTCTCCTCAATGACATGTGCTTCAAAAGCTTTACGTTTTGCGAATGAATAGAAGAGATTTTAAACAACCTACTCAAGTAACACGTCGTCCACTAATAGCGCGCTAATAGCCGTCTACAGTGAGCTACATTTTTGAAAATGCCGTTTTATGATTTCCGTCTTCTCTGTTCTCTAGCCCCCTATAAACCCCTATATTTTCTCGCAGTTTTACTATCTCGCAATGGGCTTAAGCACAAGTTTTGTAATGATTACAGTGCACTTTATTGACAAATTGAATAAATCCCATTTGTCTTTCCTCACCCCTACTGCATCATGTTAACCCTGATTAGAAGGGAACTTAAAGTAGGCTTCTACTGTAATTAGGGGCCTCCATGCAGATAAATGGGCGTATTATATAAAATCATTTATTCGCTGATATATCCTATAAGAGTAAAAGGTCTATTACATTTACTATGTAGCACTTTCCTGTCACAATATTCTGGCAGCAATTCTGTTCCCTGTATTTTTGAACCACCTGTGAATTTTGCATTCAACATAGTCCGTTGAAATATCGATAGATCTGGGGTTCATCCAAATAGCATCTAGTAAAGCAATGCATATCTTATTATAATTACTTACCGATAACACCTTTGTTAAACAAACTACCGGAAGCTTGTATTTTCCCGTGTTGTATTGTGTAATTCGTCAGCACAGCTAACGAATCATGCAGTGCCGTATACATGGCACGTTTCACTGTATGTGCCACATCTTTCTCACCCATTTGCATCAATTGTTTCACCTTAGCACTCAATGGATAACATAACTTGAACCTACAAATTTGTCATATGTATTGTCATCTGACAAATTTCGTTCCAATTCTCACAATTGCTCCAGGTTGAATTCACATTAAAGAAAATGGGTTGCACTCATAAAAAAACGTATTACGAATAAAATATATGTTTCACAATTAATTTACCCATCGATCTTGGACACCTTTGTCTGTGTTCACAAAGGCCTGCCTCGACACAATCAGGACACTTAACTTGTTGAATCTGTTGTTGTGATAAAATGTCCAGCGAGATGTTAATGACATTTTAAGAGGCTCTAAGTCTTCAAGTGCTGAATAAAAGTACGTTTTCATATGATTACTGAAATAATTCTCGGAAAAGAATTGGTGATGGAACCAAAACCAATAACAATAAAACAAATGTATCGCAAAATAGAACTTACTATCCCATGGACGTCAAGAAATAAGAACATCTGCACAGTAGCTACTAACGACAACCCAGCACAAGATTGAAGTCATTCAAACTATCAGTTCCCACCGTAAATTAAAACAAAAATCAGCGACTTTTGACTCCAAAAATACAAGCATCTTGATTGATCTAATAAAAGAAAATGAGTCTTCTAACCAAAAACAAATATTATGAATACATTTCAAAGGTAAATTACTGTTTATTAACAAATGTAGTGCAAAAGGTACAAAAGGTAGCTAAATCAACTACACTTGTCTCTCACAAAGCGTTTTGTAATCTCAGTTCATTTTTCACTCAATTACTCGGATAGTATAATCGACCATCCAATGAGTCAAGTCTTGTGTTACACATATTCTAATCTTCTGTAATCCAGGCCACAGTGTTCTGTAGTCTGCAATCCTTGCCTTCTTTGTACCAAATGCAAATATGATGTGATTCGCATCAAACTGCACTCTTTTATCATTTTTTTGTTGTCAAACCTTTCCCAATAAAATACCAATCTATCACTTTCTATGTTCCACTATTCTGTTGTCAGGACTACGATGAAGATGACCTGGAGTACACCAAAAAACATATTCTCCAAAATTGGGATTTGGATCATGATGGAAAAGTGAATTTGGAAGAAATGAAAATGCTCCTGATGGCCTACAGCGCTCGTGAACTGGGGCTCGCTGAGCACAGCTGAGCACTGATAAGAGGTGGTGCTGGTCATTACTTTCTGGGGATCAGAACCGATCATTAATGTGTATGATTCGTTTGAAGTCTGCGGTTTTTTAAGCAATGTTTGGAATGGATGATTATTTCAACGGACGGGTCAAACAAATTCACAATTTACTCCCTTGCGGTGTACATAACATCATTTTGTTGCATGCTATACTCAAGCCACACACGCCAACACCATTTTCCCGGATGTCTACTTCAATGCATTCTCATGAGCTGCTGTCGAATCCGATCCTGAAGCATTATGTAGAAAGATGAAACTGTACCGTAAGATATTGTCCTGTTCAATCACTTTTGCTCTGTCCAAAAGCTATTCGCATTCAGCTTGATTATCTCGTTATCACTCAAACACATACTGCTCTTTTACTCCTAGTTGGTTCTAAGCTGTCAAAGAGAACGCACGCATGCACTCACGTACGCATTTGTTTGTCTTCTGTTCCATTCAAGTTCATGCTTAACTGTGTTCCCTTGTTATTCTACTATTCCGACAACACAGCGCATTGGTATCACTCCATGTCTTTCCTATTAGTATATCTGACTGCGTAGGTTCGTCGTTTGCACCCCGTCCCCAGGCTTAGTTTAGTCGAGTTTGGTTTAGCGCAAGGAACCCCAGCTCCTCCCCCGGTCCTCCTCCATGCGGACAGCCGAAGTATTCGGTCGGGGAGTTTTCACCCTTCGGCACATAAGAAACAGTGAAGTACCTCGTTTACGAAAACCCGATTTACAAGTTTATGAAGTCGTCGGTTTTTTGTTTCAAAGCACGCAGGAAGTATAGCCTAAAAGCAAGATAATTGCAGTGACACAGTAAGATTAAGATAGAAATGCCCCACAACTTGGCGTAGAACGTTTTTACAAATTCTCCACTTCGAAATTTCATACAACGAGGAAACATAATATGTTGTAGTGGGCTCAGCAAGACAGTGTAAAATGCTCGACAGTTATCATCGTATAGGGCCTGACTGTTGCACATGTATACCTTCGCATAGTTGCAGGCATTGATCCTTTGGGGCACTGACTAGTGCGTTCCTCTCTTTTTGCTAGCATGAACTAAGCCAGGATAGTTAACGTCCTGTTGCTGTTTCTTTAGCTAGATCTTCAATCTTTGTTTAAGTAAATATCACCTCTTTAGCACCTAGGAGGGGCTGATCGGTGGCGCGTTGATAACTCTGCCGATAAAACTGTTGTGGTTAGCACTCGGACTAGTAATTCGTATACGTTTCGGATTCCTCGCAGTAATAGTCCAACCCTGAACTAAGACTCGAAATGAAATAAGAACACAGAACTCAACAACGGAATGGAACTGTAAGAAGCGGAAATTCGGAATGTACAAGAATATCTTGTTCAATAAAACAAGAGTTCATAGTTCATGAACAATCACCACAGAAGCTTATTGCCTGATTTTCCAGAGTTAGATTGGATAGAGCATGAAACCGATAACGAGCGTTGGGAGTGGTACATAACTTGCAGTAACAAGATTCACAGAGCTAGCGCACGATAAGACTCGCCGGAAATTGTGCCATCTTCGAGGTCATAAGTTGTTCTCGTTATAGGTGGCAATAAAACAAAATAATTCATTTACCTGAATCAGAGGAATGAAGTTAAAAAGTCCAAATAGTGTTACTACACCTCCAAGGGAAATTCTGCACCTTGAACGGTGCAAAACTTTCGTCTGCTAAGACTTTCGTTTTCAGATACCCTCGAACGTACTCAGGATAAACTCCAGTTTCATTTAAGGGAATAATATATTTTCAAATGCTGTGTCCATAACCGAATAGGTTAATCCAAACATTTACCGTCTAAATAATATATTTTCCCTTGACCAATTTGCTGTTTTTACTGATATCTGCCAAATAATAGGGAATGACAGACTATCTGAGACAGGAACGCTTCCACAGGCCGTAAGCTATCGTCCCGTCCCTAAAATTCGGTCTGTTCTTACTAAAGCGAAGTTTACCGCGGCATAGTATGAAATTATTTACATCTAACGTGCGATAGATGTGGCTTCAGGCCGGATGGGGCTGATAAATTAAAAGCAACTTAGTTCTACTCCATCAATGAAACTTTTATCCAATGTCGCTTTGGTTGTTTTAGCTGACCTTGATAGGCACACCAATAGGTTATCGACAGGTAGATGAGACCGATTTTACGCCCAATTAATTGAGGATTTTACATAGAACAAATGAAAAGTTGTAAATTATTATTCAAAGAGGATACTGTGCATGCAACTACATCCGCCGCAGCTTGAAAGAAGTCCCGGTTTTCTGTAATCACGGCGGGCTTTGTTGAGTAATTGTTCAGATCTTCTGGGTTCTCCTATACTGTTTTCGACATTTGTAGTGGGATGTAATTCCTCTGGACAAGAATCGGAAATAAAAGGATCAGTAAGTTCACAATTAGTATCAGGATTGAGCACATTACAAATTACTTGGTCTACATGTCAGCGATGTACAGTGCCATCGTCTAGATCCAATATGCGACATACTGTTTGTTCCATATTGTCTATTACAATGCCCCTGGAGGGTCGTAAATCGTTACCACGATGACACACAACTTTCGCAGACTTCAAGTGTAGAGGATTCGTTCGAAGCACTCGAGTTCCAAACAGCTTTGCTGGACTGTGTCCCGTAGTTGAATGTACTGCGTTACGGTATTGCATCAGGAAGTTATCAACGCCTCTGTCCAGTTCATTGAATGTACTGGGACTCAAGGAAACAATGGCACTCTTCAGCGTGCGCACAAAGTTTTCGGCTGCGCCATTGGATTGCGGATGTCGGGGTGGAGTGAGAACATGCTGACAACTCACAGAGTTCAATCAATTGGTATCTTCCTTGACAGTAAAATGACTTCCTTTGTCGGTCACAGTGTAGTGTGCCCGATGGTACTGTGAAAACCGAACCATATCAGAATTTTGCTGGACATCTTTTTTCCTCTACAATTTAAATGTATGTTCACATTTTCACTCCAGTACCAACGACGTGTAACGTTTGTTTTATATGATCGAAAACGGCTGCATCCTTCCGCGAAGGGAACTTTCAATTTTGCTTTCGCTCCGTTATTGTGCTCGATGGTTCTCGTGCCTTCGTGGTTGAACAGAAGAACGCTCATCAGCCGGTACCGGTACATTCTCTATTCCACGGTACCTCAATAAACATCTACAACAACCATAAGTCTTCTGTGAATGTTATAGTGTTAATAACACAGCGATATCGATAGAGAGTTATATTTGCCGACGTTTCGGTTACCGTGGGTAACCTTACTCAAGGCAGGTTTTGATTGTAAAATTCTCTACCGACATCGGTGTGTTATTAACACTGTAACATTCACAATAAAACAACATATGGCGCATTGACTTTCCCATACACTCCTAACATCATTTGTTCCAGATGTCATAAGTCTTTTGGTTGGGTGCCTAGCGTGTGGTCAGTCCCACATCAAAGTGACCAACACCTAAATAACGTAAATAACCCAAATCATTCCATTGCTGACCGGAGTCCCTGAATCCATTGAACAAGACCCTACAGAACTCATCGGGGCGACGTTACCATGCGGCACCCCCTTGTTATTTGCTTATTCTTGAATCAATCTAAATTCAACCACTTTTAATTATCTAAAAAAATTTGGGACGTTTTTAATTTATAATTTCAAGTTTAATTGTATGAAGTATGAGAGCACATTTTTGTCTGATTTGTTTTAATTTCTGACCTTGAAACATTTCGGGCCTCTCGAACATGTACCGTATGCCACACCGAATTCAAGGAGAGGCGTGTATTGAGTATATGCAGGACCGCTAGTTACTGCCTAAAACACGAACCTGTGTATAAAGTCGCACAATGAAAATGCAGGAGTTACTGATAAAAGCAAATACGGTCGAAGTCGTCCAACACTCACTGTGTGAATGTTCGGAGTATTCGACCCTTTAACTGGTATCCATACAAATAATTTTAAGTCCTTTTGGAGTCACATCAACAGGCGATTAAAAAACGTTACTGGGTCAGTTGGTGATGTTATATGGGAACATTTGGATGAGGTACAGTACCCCATGCGGTTCAGTTCTTCCATACAAACGTTCAATGATGACACTGACACCTATTTACGACACGTCGCGTAGTTGTATCTATGTTGAAAGACATTAACGATTTATTACATTATTCTTTTCATTTTTTAGATGAGCCATCTATACTACTCATGAGTAGTATTTTATTTTTACGAAAATTGTCCCTGGGGGTGCCGGATGGTAACGTGAGCCCATTGTCGTATGTCCAATCATCTAACCGTTCATCTGGTATAACGATTCCTGTTTTTCGTCCTACCTCCACTGACATGCTCTTTTAGAGCATTCTGCTATCCTCAACATTTTTCTCCGAGACCTTGTCCACTTTGTGTTATATTTGTAATTATGTTCAGGTCAGGTCAGGTCAGGTCGGGTTGCACAGAACTGATAGTGGCCACAGCCAACTGAGTGTCCAGATTTCTTCCGGCAGTATGCTCACAAAGTGTGCGCCCACCAATGCGTATTGCTTTCAGTACGGCGTTCTTGCTGAAAAGGAAGGGAAAAAGTTCGCCTCCTTTCACCTTATCAGCGAACAAGGGACATGGGTCATGAATACGTTCCATAGTACACTAAAGATCCTATTCTGGAAAGAGCTCTAACCATCGCTCATCCGGAGCGAGCTTAAATGCAGTCATGCTTCCCAAATCTACTAATTCCTTTGGCAACCGGTTCCAACGGCTCACTACTCTGTTACTGAAGAAGCTGGATCTAACAATCAGGTTGCACCGCTGCTTATTTGGTTTGTACCCATTCTCTCTAGTTCCTTGGTGGATAGCCTCTTGGAACATGCCCTCTTTCCTTACTCCCGAGAGCCCCTTCACAATCTTAAAGGTCTCCAGTAAGACTCCCCTTAGTCTCTTCCTTTCTAGCAAGAAGAGTCCCAAGTCTTTTAGCCTTTCTTGGTATGACTTATC